CAATCGAGACTTAACTCTCCAACAACGACGTTCTTCAGAACAAATGGACGCCAGCGAGATCGCTGAGCTCATGGCTGCAGACGAAGAGGACTTCCCTAGCGAGTTCCCTCTCTCGTTCCCCGAGATCGAACATCGTCAGAAAGACGACAACGATATCAAGAAACTCCTCAGGGACAAGCCAAACAGACTACAAGAAGCAATCTTTCCCCAGAGGGGATAGTCTTACGACTTAGTAGTTAAGGACGATAAGATCATCGTACCTAAGACTATGCAGAAGAAGCTAGTCGATGGTACCATGGTGTCTGATGCACCTGGCGAGACTCGCACAGAACTAACCATCAGCCAACACTAACCGGAAAGGACTGCGCAAGACTGTGCAGGCCGTATTGTCAGCGTTGCCAAAGCTGCCAGATTAACAACCCAAGACGCGTAAGCTGGGATGATGCCTCCAAAGACTTGCGAGGAGATCCCTTGGAAAGACTATGTATTGACCTGATAGGTCCCTACAACTCGGGGATCCTAAGAAAAAGAATTCCTGTACACTTCATTGCTTGACAATGATTGATCCCGTAACCGGATGGTTCGAGATTGCAGAGATCTGCTCCAAGGCAGCAGACGAAGTAGCCATCGTCCTAGAACAAATGTGGCTTACTCGGTATCATGGCCGCTGAGGTTATCATGGATAGAGGACGTGAGTTCCGCCAGAAGGTCGAGAAGACTCTCCGGATGAATATGGACTTCGTCGCAAGTTCATCACCACGCGCAACCCTCAACCAACTCCATGGTCGAGCTGCTCATCAGACCATACGCAACTTGATCGCTGTTCAAAACATCAAGTGCAAGACGACCTCGTGAATGGATCCTGGGATGGAGTCCTCACGGCGGTTCGCTTTGCAATGATCGTGTTCAACCGTGACGCAATTCACAACGTCCGTTTCGAAGCAAACTGGAAGTACATAAGGAACGTCGCCAGACTCATCCAACAGAACAACGATAGGGAGAACGCGCGCGTGTCCCTCATCAATACATGTCAACGATACCGTGATGATTCAACAGTATCAGCACCGCAAGTACGGTCAGCCAAAGTACAAAGGTCCTTACACTATAGACCGAGTCAATGACAATGGCACTGTACGGCTCCAACATGCTACCGCCAATGGCGGCACAGTCTACCAGGAACATAAGGTATATAACCCATACAAGCCTGATCCCTTGTAGGATTGCCATCGTGCGACGCACATGTCTACATCCAATCTCATGAGAGTGCCCCGCACTTTAAATCATATGTTCTCCTTGTCCAACTGATGTCGTGCCTTCTGTGACCCTTGCCAGGGGGCGAATGCAATACACGGCTCTTAGCCTTATTCGCGACTCGATCCTAGATAGGGTTTGAGTTCGACTCATGACTGAGTCTCTCGTGAATAGTCATTGAGACAGGGTTCTCATGACCGCTAGTCATACTAGGTCGATGGTGAAACATCGCGCTAGATATTTAGCTGGCGTGGAGAGATTTCACGCTACTAGATAAATGCTAGACGAATCTTCCACGCGTTCCGTTTTTGGATCGTGGAACGAGTAGGATTACTACCACAACCTACTCTATCACACTTTACAGTCTCCCGCGGGAGTTCAGATCCTTGATTGTGATCTCTCTCGTTGATTAGTTTTCATAGCTTTCTAATCCTCTCATAACTTTCATTCTCTCAAACTCAAAACACCCGAAAGATCTTTACACTAGCTTTTAGCGTAGTGCAACTTCCTTTCCGAGGACACTGTTGTTCCGTGATGTTGTGGCAGTCTTCTATGATAGCGTCTCTCTCTTCTGGCGACAATCCTTTCTTGATATCCGCCATTGTGAGGTGATAGCCAAACATAGTCTTCGTGGGTTTCACGTGCTGCTGCTGGAGGTTCAGTCTGTCCGGAGCCCTAGTCTTACGCTTTGGTCATCCTGATGCCCGAATCTCCTCCATGGTATCATCAATTCTCTGAGTTTGTTCCCTGACGGCTTCTCTGATTCCTTCGGGAATGCCATCATCGCTCGAATCATCGTCGGAATCATTGTCAGAATCATCTTGCTTTGCTTCTTCACCATCGTCACTCTCCTCGTCATCACTGCTATCCGAGTCATCGTCATATGCTTGGTTCGCTCGAGGCAAAAGTGCTGGTGGTTGATCTTGGTTGTCAACGACTGGGACTGGACGCGATCCACTAGCAAGTAGATCCGCTAGCTCATTCTGATCCAATTCTTCCCATTCGTCTTCATCTTCATCGCTTTCGTAGCTTGATTCACTGTCAGAATCCGAGTCATCATCAGATTCGTTCCATGCTGGTTAAACACTAGAGAGACTGTAGGCCATGGTGGAGCTATTGCACTATTTTAAAAGTCAGTCTAAAAAGAAACGTGAGGAATCGCTTTTGGTGATCCTGTCGATTTCGAGTTTCAGTCCCGGATACTCAAAACTCAACATCCTTGGGGCCGAAGCTGAGGCACTCACCAAAAGTATTTCCGCTTTGCTCGCTGCAAAGTGGGAACGCCCTTACTCAGTGGTACGTGGCTACGTTAATGCTCGGCTCAGCCTAGCTATTCTTCGGGCCCGCCACCTCTGCATGCGTGGCTCTCGTGTCCCTGCTGGCACCATGAGCTACCGTCATTCTCTCTGGAAGACACATCTGGGATTCAGGTAGTTGCGGTAAAACATATTTTTGATTCAAATTGGAAGAGTAAAGTAAATCTTTAACCCTATTCTTACCGCATCTACCCATCTAAAACTGTCTTCCTGGGATGCCGTAGGTGCACTTGCCCTCTTCCGCTAATTTTGCTCCCTTCTCCTTCCTCGTTTTCCCCCATGCCCCCCTTCCCCTGCCCCCCCTTTGCCCTACTCCCGTCCTCATTGCTCTCCCCGTACGCCCACCACCACAGCCACGCACCACCTCAGCCCCTGCTCTGCCTAGCTTAGCCCCCCTCGCTCCTTAACGTATCTATTTAGTATTTGTTTTCTCATTGATCCAATTGACAACTCAAACCAGACGTGTTTTCCCGGTTCCCCGTCTCTTTTGATGTACCCGTACCAACAACAAACGAGTGACAGTGGAACGAGTCTCCTTATTTTTTCCACACCTTTACCAAAGCGGGGCCCGACATGAACATGACCCAAGCCCACGGAACCTGGCGCCGCGCCGCTGCTAGCCCTGAGCCACCGACACGAAAGGCCCCGAAGAGGACCGAGTCCAGCGGCATTTTGCACCGTCCATCACCACAAGACACCAAGAGGCAATTGCAGAGGTCCGAAGCCCAGGGAATCATGCACCGCGCCACAGCAACCAAATCCACCATGGACATCAAAACGGATCCTTTTGACAAGGACACTCACCTCGCTGGTAGACCTGCCGCCGACGTCACGGCAATCTCCAAGAGAGAGACCAAACCGTCCGTTGTTTTGTCCAGTCATTTGGCACCGCCTCCTGCTGTTATTGAAGACAACCAACTGCGTGACGCGGATGTAGTATTTGGTCGAGGAGGCATGTCGAACCATATTAAGGGAAATTGGCTGTTTCGTATCCACCTTGACAAGCACAAGGGATCCTACCAGGCCGCGACTGATAGGAAAGAAAAGAGGACGCTTGTCAAGCAAATAATTGAAGATCTCCGAACTAGAGATTTTAGGTTCTTGGAGCTGAAAGATGGAAAATGGGCTGAGCTTTCGGAAAGGCGAATTCACTACAAGGTCACACAGCGGCTGAGAGAGCGTTCGCACTTTCAACCTATACCAGTGGAGGCAGCGCCCCTGGTTGTAACACAACAGTCTTCCACTGAAGAAGAAATTGCATTGAATGATGCCACGCCATTGGCATTGAATCTTGAGGGTGCATCTTTCCAAATCCATGCACTCAAAGAGGATGTTTTCCCCGACTCGATCAATGATTTGACGAAGCCCTCAACCCAGGATGCGGATTATGCAATGGATTCCCTCAAAATTGGGGATGAGCAATCTCTACAAGGAGGCAACTATGCCCAACAATTGGATGGTGTGATGCCATTGCCTTTGGATATCAACCAACCGCCTTCTACAATCGCAGCACAGCAAGAAAATGATTTTTCTGACTTATTCGCTGCGATTGCAAGCCCGCAGGAAGAAGTGAATACGGCGCTCAATGCTTCCGCAAACCAAAACAGCAATGCCAATTCAGCCGCAACGCACCCTCTGGATTATTCACACAAGGTAGACGCCGTCAGCGACATGGCCAGTTTGACTTCTCGGGATGAAACCTTGTTGTTTGGCTGGGAGTCTCATTGCGCCACTGACAACTTTTTCTTCTGGGACGGCTTGCTGCCGATGGATCCCATGCCAACGACATTTCCCTACTGGGAATCCACCGGTACGAGCATCCCTGGAGCTGGATCGGGTCCCAGTTCCACGGCCCGGTCTCTGGCCAGTACAGGCCGCCCGAGAAGCTGTGAGAACATTGTATGGGGGAGGAATGTGTAAAATGATTCGGCTAAAGTGCAGCCAGATCTGACTCTCTCTGGTCAACGCCTTTCATCTCTGCCCTGGCTGATGACGACCCAACAATTTACGTCCCCATCACCAAATGCCACCGCTTTCCACTCTCCTTCTTCCAACTCCTCCTCGACCACTCCGATTTCATCTGTGCCATCTTTTCTGCTTCTCTCACTCCTGATCCTTCTGCTATCAGCCGCGTTTTCTAATCTACAAAGCTTTCCATTCCAGATTACGGGATGGCGTTGCATGCATGAAGAACCACTACATGTACTTTCTCTCTAGCGTGTATGTTGTTTGTCGCATTCTGGAGTCCTATTTAAAGAGGTCCGCTGACATTCTGTTGGCACATGTACTAAAAGGGGCCATCGCTGCAAACGCAAACGGATTTGACCATTCGTTTCCGGATAGAACGAGCCACTTCAGCCGTATGACATACGGTACGGTACCATATCTAGCTAGTCTGGCTAGTTCGTTGCAGCAGCCATGGGAGGAGATTTGAGGAATCGAATCGGTGGGGGAAAGTCAAATGTTGGGCTTGTGTTGAAAAGCAACAATAATAGCGAATAGCGTTGGACGAGGAGATGGAACAGAGTTTGCTTCACGTGGGACATCATAGGAACAACACAAGGAGCCTGGGCAAAAGGATAACTAACAACTCAAGAATGCTGCTGTAGCACTTTCCTCCCCATGCTGACTACATGTATGGTATTTTTTAAAATAGTACAGCATCCAAAAGGACCGGTGGGAGTTGTCGGGGTCATTGCAGTCCCACTATGACCGCGATCAAGGAACATCACGAGAAATTTCTTCGTCCACTTCGCCGCTGCCCACAACCAAGCAAACCAAAGCAGCTTCCCCGTTCATCTTGCAGCACAACAGCACAACCAAACCAGGCAAGACCAACAGCAAGCAACCTGGCAACCACAAATCAAATTACACATACATCATCCGTAGACAGATAGAATTATTTAAATTCATAGAGCTCATTCATACGATATACATATGATGAGCATGACAACCACCGTTCGTTCCCGTGGTGGCCGAGGAGCCGGCTACTATCCTCCACCACGACGCAACCTGAATCGCAGTCGCAGTGGCGACGGTCTCAAGCTGTTGCGCAAAGGCAAGCGTCCTCTCGGTGGCAAGTCCTCCCAAACCAAGGTGGTTGTCTTTGTGGCATTGATTATTTTGGTAGTGGTGGTTGCCACGGTCCATACGACGTTGCAGTCGAATCCACAAGCCCTTCAGAATTTGTCCATTCGACGACGACGACGAACTGACGATCGCAATGTAGATGATTTTGTCGATGCTGGAGAACAAGCAGAAGAACAAGCAGAAGACAAAGGGGAACCCTATGGAGGGAAATTTGGTGAGGAGGAACAACAACAACAACAAGAAAAAGAGCCACAATCTGCAAAAGAAGAAGATCCAATAGTAGAAGACGAAGAGGAAGACCCAATACTAGAAAATGAGCAATTTGCTTCGAGGGAAGAAGAGCACCGACGAAAAATGGAAGAACTCCAACGAAAAGAGGAAGAATTGCAACGACGAGAAGAAGAACTCCGACGAGCCGAGGAAGAACGGCAAAAACAAGAGCGACAAAGACGACAAGAAGAAGAAGAAGAAGCAGAGAGAAAAAAGATGGTAGAGCAAGAAGAAAAACAACGAATGGAAGCGGAACGAATTCGGCTAGAAGAACAAGTCAAAGCCGAACGGCTACGATTGGAACAGGAGGCTCAAGCTCAAAAACAACAAAAAGAGCAAGACGCCAAACACCACCAACATCATGCCCGCGTGGCAGCTCCCGTTCCAAAACAAGACGAAATTCCTTCCGAACAACCGGCACTGAGTTTTTGCGAATTCATGCGCAAAAAGACAGGCTCCTTTTATACCGATGTAGCCGCCTCCCACGGATATTCCAATCCGGCCATGCTGATTCTCGGCATGGAAGACTTGTCTACCGATTTGGTATGGCATGTCCTGACGCAAATCATGTTCCCCAATCGACCCACCACACCCAAACGAACGGCACAATTGGTCCATCAAGCCACGGCCATTGATTACTCGCTCCTCGACAAACCCAACACGGAACTGCAAGGGGAATTCTGGAAAAAAGTATCCGACAAGTCACGAGGAAAATGGCTCGTGCATGTCTTTTGTCAACAACAAGAACATGGGTTGGCCATGGGATTTCCGTGGTTGACCGATCCAGCTGGCATGATTGCCGGCAATCACAAGGCCAAGGATACCTTGGAGCTCATCAAAACACTGCCCAAGGGATCCGTCAAGATTATTCGTGTCAAACGCAATCTGCTGGATGCGGTCATTCGACAATCTCAACGCAATGCGGAAACAAAGGCACCAGAACAACAACAGCAACAACATACGCATGCTTATCACATGAAAGAAATGGTCCCCGTCAATCTCGATCATCACAAAATCTTTCATCAATTGCACCGACTGCAAAACGAACAAGATCAACTGGATGATTTTCTGCGAACGTACAATGTGCCGCATTTGACGGTCGATTTTGAATCCATTTTCCCATTCAAACATTGGACCGATCTGGTCCAAGTCACGCAACAGGCACAAGAGAGTGGCACCACTCAACTGACTACTGCAGCCGCATTTGAGGACGAAGGTAACAATCTCTCTCCCATGGAATCCGAGTGGAGAAATATTCTCCGGTATCTCGATATAACAGACAACAACAAAAACAAAAAGCCATTGACCATGTTTGATATTCTGCAAGATACCATGCGCACGCACAAGGTCAATACATTTTGGACGCAAACGGATGCCGTCAAGAATTGGAACTACGTTGCCAACGCATTGATGGGAACTCATTATCAACATGTACTGCGGAAATATCCAGAGAAACAAGTGTGGGGTGACAACAACAACAACAACAACAGAGATGAAATGTAATCATAGTCACAGATGCATTATTATTGTGCAACGATGATACTTCCGGCACTTTCAAGATTTTTTCAGAAGTTGAAAGTCCCATGCTCAGCCGCCTTCATGATGGAACGGCAGCAACAATCCACAATCGTGGTGATGATGAGCACAGATGTGATGATGTGGGAGGTGATTTGCAAAAGCAACCACGCCGAATACTCTCGAAAGCGACGAGAGGAGAAAAACATGTTGCTGCCGGGGGCTTTTGGCACTCAAAGTCCAGCCAACGGTAGAGACTTCATAAAAACTCATAGAATACTAGTTAGTCGGATGCAGTTCAAATGAGGTTAGGAGTGCTGCTTTAGATCCTGCTCCAAAAATGGCTACTTCTTGTCCGGTTTCGCTCTGACATTGTCGGAATTGAATCGACACAAAGATCTGCACCTAGTAGTCTTGGAGCTCGCTCTTCGTGAGCTTTCTCGCATCTAACACGCCAAAGACACAATCACGGCCGATAGCCCATCTCTCGCATTGGTGAATCGAATCGACAAAGCGTAGTTGAGCCATGCTACCGGTAGCATGTCGTAAGTTTCCTCCGCCTCACCCAAACGACCTCTTCTTTGCTTTTAAAAGCCTGGCCCTGGCTGCCGTAGATAATCCACCTACGAACTCTAACCCCCGTTACTGCTCGACAACGACGTCGTTGATCCACTTTGTGAATGACATTCCACGCCCCCCAGGCGCGCACCGTGGATGGTACTTTAGTCCCGCTGAACAAACCTACACCACCATTCGATGCAGTTCAGACCGCTTCGGTGTTTCTCGTGGGCCTTCATTCATCTACTGTTGTGATCGATTGACGAGAGAGATCTCCAATCAAAACAACAACGAGAAACTCATCAACCTCTTACAATCTCTCAAGAGAAACAAGTTGAACAGAACAACCAAAACACAAACCAACCATGCCTTGCTCTCAGCGTCCCTTTCGCCACGGTCACCACGGTCACCGCGGTCACCGCGGTGGCTTCCATCCGTACATGATGATGCGAGGAGGATTCCCTCATTTCCACCCCTTCTTCATGGCCGCGAATGAATCCGCCGAGGAAGACTCTTCTCCCATGAGCATGTTCCAGAAGAACAAGAGTACCTGGAATGAAACTGAAGAGAATTACATCTTCCAGATGGATGTTCCCGGGGTCAAGGCTCACCAAATCACCATTGAAGAGAAAGACGGGGAAGTGGAAGTCACTGCAATCCGCATGAACAACAAGAACGAGATTGAGAAGACTTACCAGGAGATTCTCTACGTCCGCCCGACCACTTCGGATCTCGCGAACACCGTCGCAACCCTTGACAACGGAGTCTTGACGGTTATCGTACCCAAGAAGTCGAACGATCCCGTGAACATTGAGACCGAGACTACCTCGCCTCCCGAAGCCACGGATGACAAGGAGTTCCGCATTTCCATTGATCTTCCTGGTGTCAAAGCTCCCGACCTCAAGGCGCATGCCCGCCAAGGCAAGGTCTACATCGAGGCTACTCGCAAGATCGGCGACCGCGTTTTGAAGCTCCACCGCACCATAGAGACGCAGGATCTCGCTTCGGTTGACGTGGCCCATGCCCGTGCCTTTCTCCAGGACGGAGTCTTCACTTTGGTGGTTCCATCGAATCAGGAGGAGGCAATGGATAGCGACGAGAAGAAGCCTGCTGGCATGAGAACCATCTGGGTCACCAGTGAAGATGAGGTGCCCGCGGCGCTCGCATCTCTCTACTTGGACGACAAGGACGAAGAATTGAAGGAAGCCATGGTGGTCGAGACTGTCACTGAAGATGACAAGGAAGGATGGGAACAGGTCAACGAAGACACCAAGAAACCCGCCGGAAAGACCGACTAAAAGTGCGGTGCAGTCATTTAGCAAAACACATAGGCACATCTTTGTTTGTCAGCGGAAAACCCGAGCAGAGAGAGTCCTTTCAAGCAACAGATCTTAGTAAAGTAATAAGCAACGAAACACCTATTAGCTTTTTTGTTGCTGTGATTGACCTACCGGTACTGTAGTACAAGAGTCTAAAATCGACCATGGGAAACTCCTTCACTCTGAACTAGCTAGGAATGAATGTAGAGGTACTGTACTGCCCTTAAGATTGTCAGGCCGCTTCTTTGCTTTTCCTGGTTTGTGCTTTGCGCCGTTGTGTTGCGTCGTTCAGACTGTCGCTCAACGTTCGACTCGGACTCGTGGACATGCGGTGGAAAGCTCTACAGTGCCAGTCGGAATTCCGATTCCATTCTGGTCTGGGATGTATGCATGTTGTCGGGCAATCCCAGCCAGCTACTCCAATTTGCCAATCCGAGGCTATATCAGTTTTCCAATGCACGCACCCACCAATCAACGAATCCAGTTTGCCTTGGACTGCAGCTCGTCCTGGCTGTTTGTGGGAGGAGTGCCAGATAGCACCGGTACGAACAAGGCAGTGGTACGAGTCTACAATACCAGTGTGGAATCATTGTCATCTGACAAACTGGTGCAAGAACTAGTCATTCCGGAATGTGCTCCTACATATGCAGATGCCGTCAACGGTCTATCCTACAACACTACCTATGACATGCTGGCGGTCGCCACAGGATCCAGAAGATTTCCTGATTTTGAAGACCGTGACAATCAGCCCGAGCAGGAGGTCCCACCCGGATCTATTCGCTTGTACAAGTGGAATGGTATTGCAACGACAACAGAGAGTATCACTAATGACAACACAGCTGGAGGTCCTTGAGGTTTCCCCCCCTTTCTCAATGGCTCGTCCCACCGTGACTTGACAAGCAGACAACGCTCGATCCGAGTCCGGCCAAGAAGACAAGACTCCGGGATATATTTGATTCGTTCGATGCTGATCCTCCTTGCTCTGTTTGAATGATTCGAATGAATCCAGCTAATGGATGTGCTATGCATGGAAGTACTACGTAAGTTACATTCACTAAGACTTGCGCGCGCGTGAAACGAAAGAGTTTCAGGCGCTCAATTTGGTCCCCATTAATGAAAGGCGGTGACTTGAAACCTGAGAGGACGACCATTAGGAGAAGCGATGGCCACAGTCCTGGCAAAAATGCGCCTCTCTAGTGTTTTTCACACCACACTCAGTGCAGAACTTAAAGTTATGATTGGCGGCTTGGTGGGCAGGGACAGGGGCCGCTTGTGTCTGTGTATGCGTTTGGGCAGGGGCAGGGGTCGCTTGTGTCTGCTCATTCGTTGGGGCAAAGTCGGCCTCATACATTGGGGCAAGGACAGGAGTCGCTTGTGTCTGCTCATTCGTTGGGGCAAAGTCGGCCTCATACATTGCCAATTCTTCCTTGAGTCCTTCAAGTTCTGCAGTCTTCTCGTACACGTCCTTCGCCTTGTGTTCTCTTTTGGCCTTTGCAATATCTAAGCAATGAATAGGCAAAAGAAGGGCATGTTAGTGGCGGGCCTGCTGCATGACTTTTTTAAATATTAAAGCTCCTCATCTTGTGTGGCTGACTTGGAAACATCTCGGCCTTACCGTGTTCGTTCTTTTTGATATCTCTCTTGATCTTTTTCATCTGCTTCTCTGCCTTGTGTCTTGCGTGCACATCTTCAAATGATTCCCCTGTGTCGATGGCTTCTTTTGCCTCCAACCCAGCACCGATAACCTTTTTGACGATCAGATGCGCGAGGAATGTCATTGTACAGCCGTATGTCTGGTTCTTTATGGGATGGAAGAATAGCAACAAGTGGATCAATGGGTGTCAAGTAAGTGTATGTTCGAAGAATTTTTTTTTGTGAGAGCCAGCGATGTTAGTTTTGGAGTGAGGAGCAAAATGCCGCACACGCCATGAGGCGTTCGCATTCAATACCGTAGCTTAAAGCTGGTGGTTGGTGGTCATCCAAAGCTGGCATTGCGTCGTGGAGAATGGAGAAGCTTCAACGAAGGATGTCTTGATAAAGACTTATTAAGCAAAATGACCGTGCTATTAGGTTTTAAGTCATATAGCATCAAAAATACTTAAAAGTGTATTGTCGGAAACCGGAGCAATGTCTGATAATGTCCACATTTATTTATAATGATAGTTTCTGAGAATGAGAATGCCAGTATGTCACAGTGTCACAGTATTAATGACTGAGAGTGTTCCTGGTGCATGTACCGTGACCGGTACCAGGTACCAGTACTTGTGGTCTCCTTCGTATGTAGAATACTGTACCCGCTCCAAAACGTAATAGTAGAGCCTTCTTCATCGGCTCGACAAGGAGAGATTGAGATCTTCCACTGCGACGTCTTGGTGCTGGGTGCAGGAGCCGCAGGGATTGCGGCAGCTCGAACCAGCAGCCCCGACACCATTCAATCCTCATCGTGCCAATGACGACTAAGAATAGTGTACAATTGTGTCTTATATTAACTTTTCGGGACGAATCTGGACAATGCAGCTATGTAATAAGCAGTAAGAACCCATGGAACCAAGAGCGCATTGACACGGTGCCGCAGCAGTGTCACCCGTTATCATGGTACGCCATTGCCATTGCGTCTTCTATGTAGCATTCAGTCACTCAGATACGCTTCACTTTGCTGCCACGAACAGCAAGGTGGTTGGCCTTGAAGAAAACAAACGCAGCCCCACCCACAATCACAGTGGCAGTAGGAATCACCGCCAAGACGCCAAACAAATTCTCAACAAACATGCACACTCCCGCAATCATTAGAACCGTTCCAAGCAGCATCCACTGTAACGCCACATTCTGGTTTTCAACCCAATGCTGGAAATCCATGCCGGTTCCAATGAAATGAGGCAAGCCGTCGTCATTGTAGGCATGGCACCAGTCGCTGTTCTTGCTTCCCATCATTCCCGAGCACATGGTACGAAAGGGGGATAGCATGAGGTGCACAAACCAGTGTTGGGAGATTCCAGTGGTAACACTGCCCACAGCCACAAATTCCGCCTGCTCATCTTGCAAGCTGATGTAGGATGATGCAAGGATATCGTCGACGACCAAACGTCCAGAAGCCGTAAGAGGAGCATAGAGTCCCTTACGGTGCACAGTGTTAATCTCGGCAACCTTGGCCGCTGGTTGGAGGATGTCGCCCACTTGGATGGAATCGGCACGAACGGGGTTGACTTTGTTGGCCACAAAAACCAAATGCTCCCCAGTCATCTCCAAAGTGGAATCGTCAGTTACCAATTGAACAAATGCCGCCTCTGTCTTCGGACTGTAGTGTCCAAAGGCATAGATTTTCTCATAATATGCGTCCTCGTTGCCGGTGGTGGTCAAGACAAGGTCCCCCAGTTGAAGATTCTTCATTGCTACGGGACCGGTGCCTTTGACTTGAGCCGTGGCCACTTCGGGGAAGCAACTCGATGCGGGAGTACTGCTGGGTGTATTGGAATCCGAGGAGGAAGCAGGATCAATGTATGTGGAGTAGTCGGGCGACGTCAATTCGGATCCATCTGTAGATCTGATGACTTTGATAAGATCGTTTGCAGTGTCAATAAGGATCGAAGCGTCAAATCCGATTGAAATGTCACGAGCAATTCCATCTTCCAACCTTCGCCTCCTCGTGGATGTTGAAAGAGCAATCAGTATCACAGCGTTCTTTGAATTGCCGTCGCCATCGGTGAGCACTCCGCTCAGGAGAATGGCATCACGTTTATTATTGAGAAAGCCCACGCTGCCACGAAAACTCAAATTGAATAAGCCATCTTCGAGCCTCCTGGACCTATCAGAGCTGAGTCTCCTCCGCCCAATAAGACCACGCTTCAGAGTGATATCTCCTGCGAAGGAACAAGAAGATCCAGTGGACCACGAAATAGAAATCTTTTCACCATCTCCATCTCCATCCGCCAAAGTCCAAGATCCTGATTCCGCCGAACAATCAATGGCGTTGAAAAAAATGTCGCTATCCCAAGTGCGGAAGTGGGGAAGGCGGCGAGCAAACTGGTCGTGTCCTGCTCCTTTCGTCGTCTCAAGGGTGTCTCCACTCAGACGGAGGGCCCAGGCGTTGGAAGCAACAAGAGAAATGATAGTAACAAGAAGAAACGGAAGCCTCGTCATGGTGTCGATGGGAGAAGTTGGTACCGAAGAAGTGATGCTTTGTTTCTTTTTTCTCCTTCGCAAAAAATGAGGGTTCTGCCTCGGTTGTTGGGCGTTGGGCGAAAGAGGATCTTCCTGTCTTGGATTGTACCGGTACCGGTGTGAAGCAATGATCCAACCAAGATTTGAGATGCCCCATGTTAAATCTTAGTACCAAAACTCAATCATGGCTCTGCAAGGTCACCTCTCGAAACTTATGAGTCAGAATGAAATCGTCACTTTATTCAGAAAGCTTCTTTGAATGGTGAATAAATCCTCTAATTCCTTCAAATTTGAGATTCTGGGTTGTGCCCTGAACAGCCTGATGAGCATTGGCCGAGCGTCGAGCGAAGTTCACCCTGAAGTCCCAATCTGGCAAGGTAATTTCTACTCCACGCTGTCTATCTACATGTATGCACTACATACATGCAGAGTGGCACTTCATTCACTGCAGTTTTATGATGTTGTAAATACATGCATGTCAAATCATTTTAGGGCCGACTGGATGGGAGTCAGAGTTAGTCTTCTTGCTAGCAACTGGCTAGCTACAGTAGTAGGACCTGAAGAAATCGATACTGCCAGTATGCATAGTACTTCTCCTTCATCCATCACTCATCGTTTCAGGTCGTCAGACTGTGTTCAGTGAAGGTTCAAGTTTCAAGTGGATCGCCCCCCCTCTTGCGAAGTGGGCGGGACCTGCAAAGCTGTTGCTTCTTCATGGACGAACTACTTGTACTTCCGTACCTCTCTAGCTAGCTTGCTAGATCAATTAGATCGAGTTCGATGGATGCCGCAAAGCGTTGGCGTCACTGCCTGCCGTAGCTCCAGGAATCGAACAGGGCGGAAACTGGTTTTCATCGACAGGGCCGCCTTGCTTAGCTAGCTAACTGCCGTACCGGTACCAGCAATCGGGCCCACTGTTCAGATTGTTAATCGATGAATGCTAGTTGTGGAGAACACGGATGTCCTCAGCTTTTCCTCTTCTGCTTCCATACCGGTGCATTGAACTAACCTTGTACATCTATCTATGTATGAGACAGCTCGGAGGATTACACAAACCTTTCCCTATATTCTATTGCTAGCTAGCCTTTGATGAACATGATGTCCAACAGTGCTGCCTCCACTGTACGGTTGAGAGAAGCCAATTAGCCTCATTGTCTTTTCCGTCACTAAACCATTCTGGCCAGACCCATCCACTGCTCTGGCTTTTCACGCAGGTTGCGAACCATGTGGTCCAATAGCGGTTGTTGCATGCTGTCCCATTTTTTGTCTTTAATATTATTCTGCTGGTCCTCATGTTGTCGCAATCCTTGACGGACAAAATCGAGATCCGCCTGCACCTGTTGCTCCAATCGATGTAAGGAATCGGTGTGCGTTTGTGCAATCCCCGCGTAGCAGTTTGCATGCGTCTTGGTGGTCAAGTCAATGTCTTGTGTCACCACAAAGGCAAAATGTTCGTGGTTCCAACTAATGTACACGGGCAGCAACGCTTGTCGCAAACATCCGTACACTTGTTTGACCTGCACGGCGACAAACTCAAAATCCATCAAGATGAGAATGTTCCCTGCATGGATCATGGTGTTGGTGGGTCCCAAAACTGCCATGAGTTGATCATTCCATGCTTTGGCGGACTTGGCACTGTCCATGACCAACAAATCCAAAGATGGCTGTTGTTGTTGGATGCTTCTTGCCCGTTGGTAGACAGTGTCATGACTACTGGCAGCAGCAGTCGGCGCCACTAGCATTCCCGCAATCGCACGAGCCGTGGGATGGACCGGAAGGACGGCCCGTTGCCACAAGAATCGAAAGCTGGTATCATCATTATTGTTGTTGTCACTGTTCTGGCCACCACCAAAGTGTGGAAAGTAGTCGTCCAAGATCCATTGCGTCTGGGATCGATTCTGCAATGACAAGAGATTGTCCCGTCCCCCAAAGGTATCATAGGCAAAGTAGAGAGGAGGGACGCTCGATGAAGTGCTGCCTGGCAGTGTCAATCCAGTGGCCAAACATTTGGAACTCAATCCAAAGTAGGGCCCCAATTCCACCGCCAAATGGGGATTGTCGTCGTCTGTGGAGAATGCCACGGCGGCTCCTGCCAAGAGCAATGGCAAACAGGCCATGGAGGTACCCAAGTTGGGAATGAGTCTGTGTTCAATGTCGGGACGGGTCGGTCGGTCCATGGTGATAGCACTGTTGTTGATGGGTCCATAGCGTCGCATTTGAAACACGGTCGATGCCTGGATTGGTTTGTTGTTTTTGGCAAGTGTTTTTGTTGTTTTTTGTTGTTGTTTCATATTGATAGTAATGGGTGTGTGTTGTTCCATGGCAGTGACATTGGCCAGCAGTGCCATGGGTTTGATATTATTGAGTTCTTGAGCTAGCTGTTCCAAGTGGGCCATGGTGTTTTTGTAGTTTTTGGAACCAGCAAAGCAAAGATTGACATTGACCAATTGCGGATTGTGGCGACTCTGCGTTTGGCAGGCTTGCAGACGCTGCAGCTCTTCGTGGTTGTGTTTGCTGTTGTACAAGTTGGCTTGAAGGAGTTGAATGAACCGTGCTCCAGGTGTGTCGGCGTGGCTTCTTAGGAAGCCTTCCATTTGGGCTAATGGATCATAGAAGGAGTGGACAACTGTATCATCTTTCAGAAGCAAGTCTTGACGGGCTTTGGATGTGCTTCTTGTAGCACTGCTGTTGTTGTTGTTGTTGTTGAGACGAAAAGATGGTACATTCACCTGACCCCGTAAAATAGAACTGTCTTTTGTACTGTCTGGTACAGCATTGCTTCTACTTCCACTAGCACTTCCACTATCACTTCCACTACTACTGTCATTGTTAAATTCCCCCAATGGAAAGAAAGATGGCCGATGTTGCATGACCAGTGATGACGTGAGGAAAAAGAAAATGACCCCCAACAAGACGAATCGGAGGATCAACCGTCGATTTCGAACTTTGTGGACATTGAAAGCTTGCGAGACTGGATTGTTAAAGACAAAAGATTGCTGTTTGCTCCTTTGGAACAGGGGACTACTACTGCTTCCCAACACGGACCCCGCCGCAGATCCCACCCGTTGATGGGCTCTTCGTAGCGATGGAACATTGCTTGGCCCTTTCATCTTCTTGACATGGTGGTGCATGTGTTTTTGTGTCTGTTTTGTGGACAAGCGAAGGTCGATTGACGGCTTTGAAAAATGAGCGTTCCTGTTTTTTGAATTATTTTACCTCATCTTCCAACAGAAACACTCTCAAATCGTCAGCGTTAGGGCTAAAATGGCTCGCCCACTCCGCCACTCGTTCTCGCGTTGCCTTTCTCATTTCTCATTTCACAGCCAACAATCAAGTCAGTTCGACCATGCCCAAGACCACTAGTAGCAATAAAGAAGACCGTCGTGCCAAGCGCCGCGAGGACGACCCCTATCAAAAGAAACGAGGCTACAGTAACAACGACACTAGTGATGGTCCGCGCCACAACACGAGCCATAATAAGAACAGCAGCGAAGATGAATTTGCGCCGTGTCCCACATTTGATGCCATGAAACTCAAGCCCGATCTGTTGAAAGGGATTTACGCGTATGGATTTGAAAAACCCTCGGCCATTCAACAACGGGCCATTCGACCCATTGTGCGAGGACGAGATGTCATTGCGCAGAGTCAAAGTGGAACGGGAAAGACTGTAAGAACTCAACAAAGACAAAGAGAACTCGACGTCTCAAGACATTTTCTTCTTTCTCACATCCATTCATTCATTCATTCAATTCCAATTGCGTCTGCTATTTTTCAACAGGCTGTCTTTTCCATTTCGGCATTACAACTCTTGAATGAGACATCCCGTGACTGTCAAGTGATTGTACTGAGTCCTACCCGTGAACTGGCCGAACAGACCCAACGCGTGGTCCAAGCACTGGGAGACTTTATGAATGTCAAGTGCCACGCGGCGATTGGAGGCAAGAGTTTGGGCAATGATATTAAACAATTGGAACAGGGCAGTGTCCAAATTGTCAGTGGCACACCCGGTCGAGTCTTTGACTTGATTCGACGATCGGCACTAACAACGGCCAATCTCAAGACGTTCATTCTCGATGAAGCCGATGAAATACTCAGTCGAGGATTCAAGGATCAAATTTACGATATTTATCGATTCCTACCACCGTCGGTACAAATTGTCATTATATCCGCCACGCTACCCGCATCCGTCTTGGAAATGACGACCAAATTCATGACGGATCCCGTCAAGATTCTCGTCCGACGCGATGAACTCACATTGGAAGGGATTAAACAATTCTTTATTGCCGTCGAAAAGGAAGAATGGAAATTCGATACTCTTTGTGATTTGTATGATACATTGACCATTACCCAAGCCGTCATTTTTTGTAATACCAAACAGAAAACGACCTGGTTGGCCGAGAAAATGAAGGAAAACAACTTTACCGTCTGTGCCATGCACGGAGATATGGATCAGACGGCACGGGAAGCCGTCATGGAGCAATTCCGGTCGGGGGCGGCGCGTGTATTAATTGCCACTGGTAAGTACATGTAGTACTGTACTGTACTACTATCTACCTACTGGAGATCATTCATTCATGAATCGCTCAATCAATCGACTCAGGATTGGATGTGGTGTCGTTCGTTCGTTATCCTCATCTAAATTTTTGTTCTTGTTCTCGCTGTTGTTGTAATGTTATAATGATGTAGATTTGTGGGGAAGAGGCATTGATGTACAACAAGTCAGTCTTGTCATTTGTTATGACCTGCCCATCAACCGAGAGTTGTACATTCATCGGATCGGACGGTCGGGACGCTTTGGAAGAAAGGGTGTGGCAATCAACTTTGTCAGGGATGAGGATGTCCGACTGTTGAGAGATATTGAACAGTTTTATAGCACGCAGATTGACGAAATGCCCACAAACGTGGGAGATCTCATTTAATTAATTTGACTAAAAGTTGATGGAACGAACGAACGACAATTAATTTCCATGGACACAACTAATAAATGCGCCAAGCCAAACAAAACAAAGCAGCCTTCCAACCGATCGGCCATGTGGCGATCGAGTTCGACAATCTTCATGATTTGCAGATGGTCCTATCTTGAGGTTCCGAGAAGGACAGAGTTGCCTGGTGATGAATATTTACTCAACAAACATAAGTCGCCCCAATCAATCAATCATCCGTCTCCACCGGCTGACGTCAGTGGAAGCATCTGTAGCTGCCATGTCACTTGGCAATGCTTGTCTCTTATTGCAGCCTGCCAGTAGCCTTCTCGCCCTTTCAGTGGAGGGAAGGAGGAGGTTCGGGTGGTTGCTCGTGACGAAAAGACTATTGGCATTGGAGAGGGCCTGTTCGTTCATTCCATGCTGTCTCCTCGTCCCAACGGTAGCTGGGGTCTCCTTTTCCTAGCCTTTTGCCGTACGGTTCAAATACACACCACGGATGGCGCTTCTGCCAACGACTTTGTCACTCTTCGCTGGACTTCCAAAAGCAAAACTAGAGAAACTGTCTTTACGCTATACATTCCGTTTGACTGCACTCAACCCCTGCGTGTTCCCAGAGAGTTCCCCCCTTGTTGAATTCCAGATAGTGGACGACTTTGTCAACAATGTCAGGGAGGCTTTCACAGCCAGTCGCCCAGTCTTTGAACGAGATCATGTCTTCATTGTATTCGTTGGATGTGATATAAATCATCCCTGAAGAGTTTCCGAGAGTAAATTCGTGCAGCTTACAACTGTGGACACTCAACACCTTGGACAGTCGTCACCAAGCCCATTCAGAAGCACCGCTACGATCCCAGATTTGCTTTCCTTTCGTTTTCGCGTGCCACTTCATTACCTGCTGGCGGACAAACACCACGATGACCCCAGCCAACCCCGCTGAATCATCCCCTTCGGGGAGCAACGAAGCTTCCAACTCCGTGGTGGTAAACCACTCGCGGTTCCGGCTATAGAAGGCAGTCAAGAGCGGCCTCGTTGACTTGTAGCAAACCATCGTCGAGAACCTTCTGGAAGTTTCCAAGATTGTGATAAGGCGTCTTTTCCTTTGAAAAGGGACGTCCAGTAGCATAATATCGGCGCTGTATCAACTCGAATTGCTCCTGGAAAAGGCCACCCAGATCTAGATCGTCTCGCTTGTCAACGTACCGAGCTTTGGCTGCAACCATCAGACTGCAGATGACAGGAAAGCCGGTTGGATGCGACATATCGGGATAGCCCCTTGGACTGAATGTGGGATTTGTCTTATCTTGTACAAGATGGTGGCCATCCCAGCTGAGGCGGAAGCAAAACGACTTAGTCGCCGTGGAGCACACGACTGGGAACTTTCAAATACGTCCTCTCCTGCGACAAAGGGCTTGGTTTTGGGGTCCTTAAGGGCATGTACGGCCTGCGGAGACAAACAGCCATCCAAGACGGTTAGTACCGATGCATTTCGCTGCCCTTTGTCCAGCACTTCCAAGTCTCTGAACGGCACGTGTGCACCACAAAGCACAAACGCTTCTGAACCCTGAGTGCCGCAACGGCCAGAGATGATACGGATCTCGCACTTGGGCAGACGGACGCCTTGCTGGAGAGGCGGGGATCGCTGGAAAATATCCCAAAAGTAAGCGAATAAGCCTTCTTCCGCTAGAGCTGGACTTTGTGTGCTGGTAGTCCCAGCGCGTACGGAGGGAGACAAGCCGCGTACACATGGTGCATCAGGATGCCATCACCACCGGTTTCGTTGCTCGGTCCACCCTCGCCGCTTATGATCAGCTGCGCGCAGATGCCGTCTTCGATCGGCATTGTCGTCACCTTACAGTAGCCCTGATGCAGATTACGGTATGGATGGTTCTTGTGGTTAATATTTGCAGTGTGCCAGTAGTTTTGTTATGGTGCCCTCTCCACTGGTACACAATGTAGATGCAGCAACAGCAGATGCTGTTGCTGTCAAAACGTACCAGCTTGTTGTGTCGTGTTGATTGCAAACGTGTTTGCTGGCGTAGCGTGTTGGTGCGAAAAAGTTGTCCAATGCACGTCTAAACCCTCGATCACGTACAGCCCCACGTGCAAAAAAAAATTTGGATGGATGGCAAAAAAATTAAAAAAAAAACTTGTTTTCAATCTTGCGTCAAACGGCTGTATTTTTAAAAAATATGTTGGCTTGATTTTTCTCTCCGATAACCCCCCCTCATCACCACGGGCAGCTGTTATTATTACTCCGCATCTCCAATAATGATGCATTGCCTCTTGCCCACGGATTTGGATTCGGTACAGGCAGTAATCGAAAGTCGATCGGTCGCAAGGCATATGGACATCGTTTTCGGATTGAGATTCATTCTGTCAAGAGTTGAGACGTTGGCTGTCGTGCTTCAACTCAGCTTTGCTTTTTCTGACGTTGTCCAAATGCACGTCTAAATCCTCGATCACATATGTTGGCTTGATTTTTCTCTCCACAAGCCTGGTCTAGACACTCAAAGCCACATTTCGAGAGCTCACACAAGACGGATAGAATAAAACACTGCATACTCCAAGTCTCGATCAAAGCCGGAACACTCCCAACCCGGAACACTACCACGAAAGAGCCAAGATGTCGACTGAGGGTGGGTCTGGGAGGGTGGGTCTGGGCTACCTTGCCTTTTGCGATGATCCAATCTAAAGTATCACAAAATCATATCATAAAATATTGAAAACAAAGTCGCAAAAACAAACAACAACAACAACAACAAAATGAAATTCTCTACTACGATCAAAGCCTTACCCACTCTTCTCCTGGCTGTTGAAGCCACAACCCTTCGTGGTCTCAGTGACAACAACGACAACGACAGCTGCAAGGAGGTCCACCGTCGTCCGTTCTTTGGGCCCGGTGACTCTGCCGTAACTGTTGATCGGGACGGTGGCTGGGGGGAGTTGGCCAGTCCCTACAGCCCCTTTGGCATTGCAGCACCCGATCCCCAAGGTGGAGCTGTTCGTAAGTGGCGTATCTACTCCATCCACTGGGACGAGAACGCGGGTGGAGACGTGAACCTCCAGATCAAGTTTGACTTAACTGGCGACCCCATCTTCACCCTCCCGCGAATTGCCGGAGGATGGGGCTGGCGTGGAGAAGGATACAGCGACTATTACCAATTTGGCTCGGGGGCGGCTAACGAAACCGACAAGAGCCACGCCAAAGCCTACGTTCAGCTGAAATCGACTTCGCCCTACAACAACCACGGTACCGTCCACTGGGCGGAAATGGTGGCGTACGACTGCACCGAGTAGATGAAGAGCATCAGCAGGGATTCGTCAGAAATAAAATGCGCTACCATCCCATTCGCAACGGCAGAGAGAATATAGATTTAAAGTAAGGGTGCGATAGGTGCGATAGCTGTTGGCTGTTGACATTTATTGTTGTCTCATTTATAAAAATGTATCACTTTCTACAAGTTTGGAGAATCCCACAGCTTTCACTGGTTTTATTTTTGGAACTATTTTTGGAACCCAGTTTGGTGCTGCAGGGCCTTCTATTAGCTAGCTAGAGGAGGTACCCGCTTTTAGGAAATAGTGCCTCCTCGTCCAGATTCTCAATGTCATACCGGTAGAGTCTCGGCTCAACCGGGGAGTAGCCAACAAGATGGCAGTGCCGTGTTGCAATGCACTAGCGGTTGGTCAAATTTTTAAAAGTAGCTCCTTCCTTGGATTTTTACTTTTTTACTTTTTAAAATTGTTCACCAAATCTTTTGGCACCTCCGAAGTTTGGAATTTCATTCCACTCACGTTTGACTTTACCTGCCCCCTGTACCGGTACCGGGTACCGGTACCAGGACCATCCGACGGTTTTCACACAGGATTTAAAAAAACTTGAAATTTCCACCTGATGACCGTTTAATACAATCCCTTATTAATTAAACAATCCCTTAACTCATCAACTATCCCTTAAACAATCCCTTCAAGAAACAATACCTTAAGCTTAAAACAATCCCTTTAAGCTTGGACTATCCCTTAAACAATCCTTTAATGCCAAATAAAAACACCATACAACTATCCCCTATTTCTTCAACTATCCCCTAAACAATCCCTTAAATAAACAATCCCTTAACAACAAGCCCTTAAAGCTTTGACTATCCATTAAACAATCCCTTAAGAAACAATCCCTTTTTTAATTGTTGTGATCAAGTTTTTAGGCAGTCGTGGAACCTTTTAAATCCTGAGTGAAAACCGTCGGACGGTCCAGGATCCTGGACCTCTGTGGAAACTCGAGTCGTGCTACCGATCGTCTCCTAAATCCTTTTGATCGTCTCCTATTTAATGGATTTCGTCTCCTAAAAATAGGAGACGACACGGATCGTCTCTTAAATCTTTCGTCTCCTCTTGAATCGTTTCTTATTTTCAACGGATCGTCTCCTATTCTCAACGGATCGTCTCTTAAGTGTACCGTGTAAACTGTATGGTATCGTTTCCTAAATCTTTCTGCTCGTCTCCTATTTCGAAACGATCGTCTCCTAATTGGAATGTCTCCTACTGAATCGTCTCTTAAATATAGGAGACGATTGCTTTCGTCTCTTATGCCTCGGTGTATCGTTTCTTAGTATTTTGCCACGAATGACGTTTCCACAGAGGTCCTGGACCTCTGTGGAAACTCGAGTCGTGCTACTTTTCGTCTCCTACATCCTTTTGATCGTCTCCTATTTAATGGATTTCGTCTCCTAAAAATAGGAGACGAAACGGATCGTCTCCTAAATCTTTTGTCTCCTCTTAAAACGTCTCCTATTTTCAACGGATCGTCTCCTATTCTCAACGGATCGTCTCCTAAGTGTACCATGTAAGCTGTATGGTATCGCCTCCTAAATCTTTCGGATCGTCTCCTATTTCGAAACTTTCGTCTCCTAATTGGAATGTCTCCTACTGAATCGTCTCCTAAATATAGGAGACGATTGCTTTCGTCTCTTAAATCATTTCGATCGTCTCCTATTCCTCGGAGTATCGTCTCCTAAGTATTTTGCCACGAATGACGTTTCCACAGAGGTCCTGAATCCTGAGAGTACCTAGCTAGCTGGCCAGGCAGTATGTAGATTTACCTGGCTAGCTAGAGGAGTGGTGGGAAGCACATACCGACACTGTGCAACTACTGTTGCCGGAACGTAGTACCGTACCGATACGTACCAGGATAAAATACCATAAATACTGATGGACATTGTACCGGTACAGGTACGGGTACATGTACCGGTACATGTACATGCACATGTACAGGTACCGGTACCGGTACATGTACCTGCTTAGCAATTTTAAAATTGAGGAAAACCAACCCTGGCATCCACATCTACCGTATCGCATGTTGAAGAGGGGTGTGATAGGGAAGTTACCTACGAAAGTTGCACAAAACCACGCGGGAAGGCTGCTGCACTCAGGTGCGGTAACTGATGTAGCTGGATCCGTTTTAATGCAGTTCATGGTTCCCACTGCGTACAGCGCTGGCGATGTTGCAGCTATAGTGCTGGTAATGTCACTTCCCGACAAACGTGCCGAGATCTGATCCGTACGGGTAGTTTTGTGCTGCTACATAATTTCCTGTCATCAAGACAAAAGGACGTCGGGCACATACCACTGCGTTCCTTGGCGCAGTAGCTCAAAGCGTGGAGAACTTGCGCTACGGACGGTACAGGCGGCATGCGGTACCGGTAGGTACAGGTGCGGCTCCACATGCACTCTTTCGCGCAGCGTTCATGACACCTCCCAGCTATGATATTATACTACTGCTACGAGCTTGCAGCGGGGTCTTTGGCTGTTGGCCAAGTTCCACCCTGTAGTCGTCAAGCATCAACTTTCAAGTCAACGAGTGGGCCCAAGCAACTCATTCCATCCTGACTAGGTACACCGGGCTGGATCAATTATGCACTAAAACAACGGGGTTGGAAGGGACGCAATCCCTCCCCGCCCAAGAGGCAATGTTCTGGACCCCCACCCGTTATCAAATTCCTTCGCGGACAACAGGGCGACGGCTAGAGCAAATCTGGGTGTTTAGCAGTTCGCTGCTTGGCACCCGAGCGCTGATAAGCCGTCCAAATGCTTGAAATAAAAGAAACGAAAAGCTTTCGTTCAAACAAGGCAACTGAGCACACGTTTACATGATGACTTCGAATCGACGACGGGCTGCATCACGCTCCGACAATTAATAGTGCCAATGAAACCGATCTCGGACTTGGATAAACGAAAACGACTGAGGCAAACTGATACTAGTAGTATCACGGTGGATATTTTTAAGTTATGGTTGATTTGTGTTCCTATTCCATATTAGTAGATATGCTTATTGAAGGCGTTCCAAGCTGATCTGACCCTTGTGATTTGCGATGCGATGTAAAAGAGGTGAATTCATGTTCACAATGGACACCCTCGCAAGCACTATATGATTAGTAGTGATACTTCTTGGCAGCATGATGGCCACTAAGAGGTATTGAATCTTCCAGATGTGGTGGCACTATTCCCAGTTCCAATAAACCGATATCCCGACCATGGAATCTCCAGTCCATTGAAATTCTCTTTTTCTTCTTGTCATAGAACGCTCCTCTTGACACCTGAACTTTTCCTTTGGCTGGGAAAACATCGAACATGGACAAATTCAATGCAGCAGTATTGGCATTTTTGCTCATCCCCCTGATGGGTAGCTAGAAGCTCCTCAGCTTCCAACACCCAAAGGTAAATACTGGACCGTCCGACGTTTTTCACTCAGGAAGGCACCAGGTTGACGGTTGAATTGACTTCAATCTTCAAAGTCGCGGTAGTCGCTAAAAAGTCGCGTAAGTCGTGGTAGTCGCTCACCACGACTTTACAACGACTATTTAGCGACTATTGCGCTGCGACTATCCCGACTTTCACGACTTAAGCGGGACTTTTCCGTGATATTTACTAGTAATCCACCGCGACTTTAGAACTACTATAAAAGTCGCGATAGTCGCGCACCGCGATAGTCGCGCGACTTTACGGCGACTTTAGAACGACTATCGCGACTACAGTTTCCACCGCGACTTTGAAGATTTGGTGACCTTCAATCTTCGTGAGACCTGGTGCCTTCCAGGACGTCTGTGGAAACGTCATTCGTGGCAAAATACTTGACGATACACCCAGGCATAAGAGACGATTGAAAGGATTTAAGAGACAAAAGCAATCGTCTCCTATATTTAGGAGACGATTCAGTAAGAGACATTCCAATTAAGAAACGATCGTTTCGAAATAGAAGACGATCCGAAAGATTTAGGAGACGATACCATACAGCTTACATGGTACACTTAAGAGACGATCTGTTGAGAATAGTGTTGAGCAGCAGCACGCCTGGGGAACCCCCCGTCCGAGTTTCCATGCCCCGCAGCGTGGAAACTTGAACCCTGATGGGTTCTCGCAACTATGACCCTAATCATGGTTGCCGAGAGGACCATCTCACAATTTGCAAAATTAATTCCCACGCTCCTCACCTACAACTCAAGTACATCTCTACATCTCGCAGGTCATCACCTGCGTTCCGGAAATGGACTATGAATTCCAGAGGAACTCAGCTGGTAGGTGGGATGGAGAGCCCTGTTTGCGGTGGAGATCTCCTTCCACTGGCGCTGGAAAGGCCAGCCCAGGGCTGGCAGCCAATGCTATTCAATCAATGTGGAAGCAATGATTGAACAGTCTAATTGCTCAATACCCTGGCACTGGCCAATACAGGATCCAGTCTACTGCAGAGCTCTACTTGTGCTGTTGGGTCTGCCTCTCAGGTCAACTACTTCTTCATTACTTCTTTAAACTATAAATGAACACAAACTCTGATTTTGCGTGAAACTCCATCCAGCCATGCAGGATACAGATCCATGCATCTCTTTTGGCTGGTATATACCAAGCTATCTTTCTAGATAGGTCATGGCTGAGGAACTGCATCATCCTTCCTTGCAGAGGAACTCTATGTCCTCTACAGCTGTTCCTATCTTGTCTGATGGTGACACAGCTCATTGTACTGAAAGAGTGTACAGATGCAGCAGCGATCTTTCCACCAGACTGAGCCAGCACAGCTGCGCCGCACCATACTATGGCTCCTATGGCAAATCTCATCGCTCCCCACCATTGGAGTCAGGATGGGGTGCCAACAAGCTTGCACATCATGGGGCTTCCCTCGATACTTCCATGAACTGGGAGCATCTGACTGCTCAGTGTGGACTTTGGTCGCATACCTCAGGGGTACCAACCCTCTTGAATACATCAAGGTGTCCATTGCTGAGTACCACTGGGCACATTGGGAGGGGCATCACATGGGCTTGTGATCAACCTCCAGTCGTGTTCAGGGGAGAAAGGGTGTATTGGCATTGGTCCATTTGACCGTCAATTGGAATCTCACCTGGTCTCCCCATACTTGCACATCAGCTATTGGCTAGGGATCTGTCTATCTCTCCCCATAAGGGCCAGTGAGAACAATCTGGGCATAACTGTTCATCTGGAGTCCTCAACTGGGTAGTTAGGTGACAATGTTGTCATCCTATGAG